ATTTTTTTTTTTTTTTTTTTTTTTTTTTTTTTTTTTTTTTTTTTTGCTTCTTTTTCTTTATTCTTATTTTTTTTTGTTTATTTTATATTATTTTATTTTTTTTTATTTTATTTAGATCCGTAAATATTTGCTTTTTTTTTATTTATTTATTTATTTATTTATTTATTTTTTAAGTCCTTTTTATTCATTTTATTCCTTTTTTATTTTATTTTATTTTGTCTCTTTTTATTGAAGATGGATCGCTGCAACAATTAGATGGGTATATATTTATTTATATTTATTTATTTATTTATTTATTTTGTTTATTTGTTTATTCTTGTTTGCTTATTTCTTCATTTATCTGTCTCCTAATCTGTCTCTTTATGTGTCTCTGTTTCTGTCTCTTTATTCATTTGCCTCTTTATGTGTCTGTCTTTTTATCTCTCTCGTGCTGCTCTATCTGCTGCTGCTGCTGCTGCTGCTGCTGCTGCTGCTGCTGCTGATGCTGCTGCATGCATGCAATACTCCGTTCTGTGTTTTCTTTTTTAGGACAAAACAATGCCGAATGATATGCGCGTTCTCTCCAATGTTAAAAGAGTGAGTCATGTACACTGACTCTGCATGCATGCATGCATGCATGCATGCATGCATGCATGCATGCAGCAGCAGCAGCAGCAACAGCTACACAAACAGCGGTAGCAGCAGGAAAAGTATTCACACAGCAGCTGTGGTATTATTCGCAGCAGCAGGTTTAATGGAAGCAGAGTCTATAGCAGCACAACTGACGGCACTACTAGCTGCAGCAGCAGCAGCAGCAGTATGCATGCATGCATGCATGCATGCATGCATGTGCATGCGTGTGGTTATTGTGCAGAGTATTGATGATGGCGTAAGCTTCTTAACACTACAAACAGAAATAGAAAGATTTAGACAACATAAAAAGAAGAAAGTAGCAGAAAAATGCAAAGGTGTACAGACAGAGGACCCAACTGACACCACAAATTGATTTAATCTGCTGCTGCTGCTGCTGCTGCTGCTGCAGTAGTAGCAGCAAATGGAGCAGTAGATGCTGCTGCAAATTATTTAACTGATGCCCTTGAGGCACTGAGACTTTTTTTCCAATGTTTTTATATATTATATATATACAAGTAGTACTTGCAAGAGTGCCTAGGGTTTAGGGTTTAGGGTTTAGGGTTTAGGGTTTAGGGTTATTAGGGTTTAATTTTTACGTTGTAGTGTATTCGGGTCAAAAGCTAGGGTTTAGGGTTTAGGGTGTATTGCTTTGGGGTTTAGGGTTTTTATTTTATGGTGTAGGGAGACTTGGTTTATGGATAGGGGTTTAGGGTTTAGGCAATACATATTGCTCTACGGATTAGGGTTTAGGGAATATAAATTGCACTACGTATTGCTATTAGGGTTGTTTACTGGTGGATGTGCTTGAAGATGAACTCAAGATCTACAAATTGAGGGTTTAGGGTCTAGGGTTTAGGGTTTAGGGTTTAGGGTTGTGCTGTTTCCATTCTTGTACTCTCTAACGATGACTGGTGGTGAGGTAAAATAAACCACCTCATTCGCAGTAACAGACCCATTGTCTGCATGCAATTTAAATAAATAGTAAAATAAATATAATTAAATACTTTAAATATATTATTTTAGTAATAAAAAGCCCCGTTTTATGCATGCCTCCGTTCACCATGGCGGCTCGAGTTCAGCAGTTAAGATCTTTGTGCAGAAGAGGTGTGTGTGTGTGTGCGTGCGTGCTCTTCGCTTCTTCTTCGTTTGTTCAACGAGCTTTTCATAATTGGGATTAATTTAATTTTATTTTAATTTTATTTCTTCTTTGATTTGTTTTTAAGAGAAAAGATTCACAAGGCAGCAACTGCTAAGGATACTCATGGGGCTCCGCTGCCGACAACCGTTTCGTGTGCTGCGCACAGTCGATTGATGGAGAAAAAGGAAACGGAGTATTAATATAATATTGGAGGTTACCTTAAGGAATGCGAATTTGAAATTGGAGAAATTAAATGAGTATTCCATCCTGAAAAAACGCAGCACTGCTGTTTGGCGGGTTGCAGCGGCTCGGGTGTCCAGGCAGGTGGCTGCCGGAATACACCTCTTCCGTAAAGAATTATGAAGGAAACCTTAACTTCGAAAATGGAAACGAGCATTTAATTATTATTTATTCCATATTTAACTCGGGAGGTCCACAGACTCCGCCGCAATTCCGTTTCGAACTCCCTCGCGCACGGCGTGGTGTTCCTTCGTTATTTTTCGTGTCCTGCCTATGGCGTTTGATTTTTTCGCGTTTTTCTTGTTATTTTCTTCATTATAATGCTATCTACCACGCCTTTCCTTGGAAAAGAAGCAACGGGGAGTCTCAACACGGGCAGAACAGCCTTCGACAGAGAGCTGCATCACGCCCCCGATCCGCTGGTTTCCTCCATCTTGCACGCATTAGCAGCATTCGGCTATGGAATTTCAAAGTTAGCAGCAGAGAATTCCTCCAAAAAAGTCGAGGAGCAGCGCAATGGACCGAGCAGCAGGACGGATCATTCTTCCGCAGGGGCCTCGGCGGATCCGGACAGCAACAGCAGCAACAGCAGCAACAGCAGCAGCAGCAGTAACAGCAACAACAGCAGCTGTAACAGCAGGTATGAGAGTGCAGAGCTATTTCGTCGTTTGTGTGAGGCATCTTCTGTGTCTAATATGCCGTTGATTTCCTTGCAGCTCCCTCTTGAGGCAGAATCTGCATGCAGCGTGTCTAAGGAATGGGAGACGATCCCAACAGCATCCTTCTCTGCGTCCGATCCTCTTGCGTTCGCGGAAGCACTGCAGCAACTCCACAAGCTGCTGCTGCAGCTGCTGTCACCCCCTACGGAGACAGCCCCCGCAGCAGCAACTACGCATACAAGGCAAGAAGAACAGCAGCATACACCTCATCATAGACACAGCAACATAATTCACATAAGCATAAACACTACTTCCTTGTCTATATTCAAGTGTATACGTCAGTTTGCATGCATACACCTGCAGGGATTCTTAGGGTTTAGGGTTTAGGGTTTAGTCTCTTTGTTGTAGGCCGTACGAATTAGGGTTTAGGATCTCCAAACTCCTCCTTTATTGCTGCACTGGAGGTTAAGCACACCTTACATATATTCGTGTTTAGGGTTTAGGGTTTGGGGTTTAGGGTTTATAGTGTATCCAGCAGAAAAATACAGCAGCAAATGTTTTTTATTGTTAAATAAATGTGAATGTGGGGTTATTTCAGGTGTATGTACACCCGAGAAACATGGGGATTGTTGCATATAGAAGCAAACCCTAATCCTTCCCTGCAGAGGTTATTTAATGTGCTGTCTCGGGGTTACGAGTTTTGCTGCTGCTTGCGCAGCAGCAGCCTCCTTTATTCAAGTTTCTTGCTGCTGCTGTGCTGCACTTCAGCAGCAGATGATGATCCGCTGCTGCTGCTGCTCTCTACATGGTGGAGACTCTGTGATGAGGCTGATGCAGCCCTTCGCACCCTTAATCCCATGTCCTCAATACAGTGGCAAGCAGCAGCAGCACCGTCCAGCAGCAGCAGCAGCAGCAGCAGCGCAAATGACAATAAAAGCAACAATAGTCATACACTACAGGGGGGTGAGGCGGCAGCGGATGAGGGCCTTTATGCAGAGGATGAAGACACGACAGAAAATGCTGCTGCTGCTGTTTCACAGCTTGCTGCTGCTGCTGCTACAACACCTGCAGCAGCAGGAGCAGCAGGAGCGGCAGCAAGTCCTTCTGCTGCTTGCCGCATCAGCAGGAGAAGCATGTCATCTTTCCGCCGTTTGTTGAGTGGGGGTTCCTTGTCGTTATCTCGGGGATCGGCTTCGCGTCCCCCACGGGATCGGGATCGGGATCGGGATCGGTTGGATCCAGGAGGAGACGATCCCCAGACGATCCCATCAAGTTGCGGGCTACTAGCCTTATCACGGTGTCAGTGTATTGTTTATATCCGTGGGTTTATATCGGGTCTGCTTCCTGCCCTCCTTTGGTCTTATCTAACTCGATGTTTGCTGCCAACAAGCAAGCAGCCGCTGCCCCATTTACTGCTGTTGCTGCTGCAGCTCGCGCAGCAGCAGAAGCAGCAGCAGCAACAACAACAGCAACAGCAGCAACATACCCCAAACACTGGCGCAGTCTCACCCACAGCGCAAGGAGAAGCTGTTGCTGCTGATAGTGCTGCAGCAACACAACAGCAGCAACCGCCAACTGGTTCCTTCTACCCACATCTGCGCAGTTTGCTGCTGCAGAGCAGCAGCGACGACTGCTGCGGGAACCCTACGGGCATGGAAGATCTGCTGCTGCTGCTCGCTAACAGCAGTAGCAGCAACAATAACAGCAGCAGCAACAACAACAGGGCTTCTTCTATGAAGCGCAGCAAAGACTGGGAGCAGGGTTCCTTTGGTGCTGCTGTTGCTGCTGCTTCGTTGCTGCCTGAGACCCTCAGACTGGAGGAGACTTCTGCTTTGGGGGACCGCAGCAGCAGCAGCAGCAACTCCTTCTTGCAGTTTCTGTCGGTTTTTGAGGGGGGAAAGGCCTGCTGCAAGCTGCTGCGGCAGCAGCAGCAGCGCAGTGCGCAGGCGCTGCAGCAGCTGCTGCAGCAGCCAGAGAGTGTGGGGAGGGCGGTGTCGAGGCAGCAGCAGGAGGAGAGAGAGTTACTTGTTGCTGCTGATGCTGCCGCTGCTGCTAACCGGCGGGACGCGGATGGGTCGCAGCCGCTGCTGCTGCTGCATAGGGATCCGCTGCCTGCTGCTGCTTGCTTAACACCTGAAATGCTGCAGCAGCTGTGCATCGGTATCTTAAGTTGCTTTTCCTATTATGCATGCACCTGCAGCAAGCTGGAAGCCAGCGTTGCTGCTGCAGCGACCATTGCAGAAGCTGCAGCGGCAGGCTCCATCAGGGGCAGGGAGGCGCCGGGGCTTGACAGCAGTAGAGAAGAGCCTACAGGTGCTGCTGCTGCTGCTGTTTGCGCACAGCAGGCAATGCTGCAGCAACAGCAGCTGCTGCTGCACCCCGATAACCACTCTGCCTTCATTGCAGCAAAGTTTGCTGCAGCTCTTGCAAACCCCGAGGGTTTCAAACCCCTCACTACAGACATCCTCATGCCCCAACCGGTCGTGTTGCATCTACAGCAGCAGCAGAAGCAGCAACAGCAGCAGGACGGAGGTGTTGAGGAGTCTGCGCTAGACGATAGGTGGGCTTCCCGCTTAGCAGACGAGGCTCTGCTGCCGTTTGGATGGACATTCACCGCAGATGGCAGAAAAAAGAGTACTACTCTTCTAGAGGAGCAGCATCACGAAGAGGATCCTGCTGCTGCTGCTCAAGCGTCTGCTGCTGCAGCAAGCCGCCGTGCGGAGGAGGTGCTGCTGCAGCTGAATGCTCTCCCCGAGAGCAGCAGCTGGGCTTACTTTCCTGTAGGGGAGGAGTTAATGCTGCAACTGTGTACAACCCTTGGGGCTTTGCTGCATGCCCGCAGCAACATGGGCAGCAGCAACTTGCCCTTCTGGGCCAATGCAGCTGCTGCTACTGGTGCAGCAGAGACCCACACCAACGCAGATGCAGCGGCAAAAGAGGACGCTGACCTGCTGCTTGCTGCAGAGGATGCCACGCTAGCGGATGAACAGGCCGTCTTCTTCTTAAATCAGGCAAAAGCTGCTGCCGCTGCAGCAAACAGCAGCAGCAGCAGCGTGCAGCAGGGTTGTAGCGGGGCCTCTGCGGTGGTGCCGGTTGTAGCTGCGCAGCAGCAGTTGCTGCTGCTGCTGCTGCTGCATCAGGCATACCATTTCGGGTGCAGCTGCAGCTGTTGCCCCGCAGCAGCAAGGGGCTGCTGCCGCAGCACCGCACACCTAGTGCTTCGTGCTGCAGCAACACAGCGCAGGAGCTGCCAAGAGCTGCAGCTGAAGAAGGAAGAGAGGGAACCTGCAGGCTCAACAGGCAGGCGGCCTCTCTGGCTTCTTCTGCAGCAGCAGCAGCTGTGCAGGCAGCTGCAAGCAGCAGCCCGAAGCTGCATGCACAGGGCAGAGAGGGAATGGCTGCCGCGCAGCTACTGGGCCTTTGCCGCCCTACACGCTTTAAAGTAAACAAACCCTGAACCCTAAAAAGGGTTTCGTCCGGCTTCTGTCCTGGTAGTACTGTCTTAGCCATTAGCCCTAGCAGCAGCCGAGCAGCATCTCCTCCCCTCGTTGTTGTAAACCCTAAACCTTCAGGGTTAAGTGTTTGGCAGGGTTTGTGGCTGTAAGCAAGGGGCCTTGAAGTGCTGGTACAGAAGCTGCGCTACTCTAGGGTTTCGATTAGGGTTAGGGTTTGCGATTCTAAACCCCGTTATATTCCGCCCAACTAGGTAGCTTGCTAGCTAGCTAACAACTTTCATACTACGGTTGTATCCGCCAGTTCATCCAGGTAAACATAAATAAATTGCCGCGGCATTGAAAGTTGCATGCATGCGTGCATGCGTGCATGCGTGCATGCATACAAGCATGCATGAGTATCTTCCCTCCCCCCGCCTCGGCACATGTCTATATATAATACATATATGATATACTGTATACTATACGGGGATAGTATACAACATACAGTATACATATTATATATGCCTATATACATATACATGTATATATATATGTATATAAGAAACGGACGCAATCCATGTACTTTTACACATCGCACATATATATTATTAAAGTTACAATATACACATGAAATGTGTCGTATATTTATTAGGAATAACAATAAACTATATATACATATATTTCTATACATATATATATATATAGAGGTATTCATGCATATATCCCATGTATATGCATATAAAACTACGGTGGCACCCCCACTGCAACCTTGCTGGACCTGCAGCTGCCGTAGCAGCACCTGCTGCTGCTGCTGCAGCTAAGGCAACTAACTGCAGACGCATCAGCAACAAATGTGCAGGATGCTGGGCCTCCTTTGCAGTACTGCTGCTGCTGTTGCTGCTGCTGTTCCTGCTGCTGCTGCTGTTGCTAAGCACAAAACGTGCTTTTACGAACCAGAAAAACACCCTCGCTGTTCTGCTGCCTGCAGCAGCTGCAGCAGGGGCAGCAGCAGCAGCTTCTGCTGCTGTTGCCTATATTAATACGCCTTATGCGCATACCTACAACACTGCCTCTTCGCCGTCCCTTCTCCATCGTTCTTGAAATGAACAAAAACCGCCACTGTTTGCAACGGGAACTACAATTTGAATCCTTATAAACTGCTCCCCTTTCGCTGCTGCGGCTGCTGTTGCTGCTGCAGTTGTTTCTGCTGCTATCGCTGCTGCTGCTGCTGTTTCTGCTGCTATTGCTGCTGCTGCTGTAGGTTGGGGAGGCAGAAGCGGCTGCTCACCAAAAGGGGGTTGGGGGTAAGGAAGGGGGGAGGGTGTAAACAGAGTCGGTGGAGGTACAGCTAGCAGCATCATCGTTTATTGTCCGATGATGTGTATATCTGTTCCTGCGGATACTTATTTAGAAAGAGTGCGTTTATGTATTAATGTAATTTATTAATTCATTTTCTTTCTCGTTTGTTCATTGCTGCAATACAGACACGGCAGCAGCAGCCTCTCAAAAGCCCGCCGCCCGTTTTGGTGTGGTGGCATTAGCAGAAGCAATCCTTCTTGCTACTCTTTCTTGGTACTGCTCTTCTTGCTGCTTTAGATAGTCTAAATACTCCCCGTTCTGCTCAGCAACAGGAAACGAAAGGCGCACAACAAGCATCATAAGCCCTATGTCCTGTGGGCAGTCTACGTACATGCACACCGGCAAGTAAAATATAGAGGAATGCAGATGCAAAACAAAAAGCAACTAGTTATCACTGTGTGTGGGTGTGGGTGTGGGTGTGGGTGGGTGGGTAATGCAGGATGGTCTGTTGGTATCGCGG